AAWATATTGAGATAAGGCTTTTATGTTAATATATTTTGGAGAGACTTTTGTTACAATTTTTTTTTAATTAAAAACTTACAAGTTTTGTGCATCTCAGTTGCTCTTCAGAAAATGGACTCTATGCTTTCATCAGAGGCTGCATGGATATCACAGTACAAAGATATCACTGATGTAGATGAAATGAAAGTTCCRGACTGTGCTGAAACATTTATGACTCTCTTGTTAGTTATAACAGGTAATTATATCTGTGGGCATTACTCTTGTTTGTAATGAATAGTAAAAAATCTTCATCTAGCAGAGTTCTTTACTAAATATTYACTGTCTGCAGTAGTCAGCAAATAATGTTGCAAAGTTGTGATGTTTGCAGTTTAATAAAAGCTTCCTTTTTGTATTTTGGACACTAACTTCCACGTATAATCTTGAGCTAGTGACACGTCTGCAAAATAATAATTAAAAGTATACATTGGTATTTACCATATTCTCTCATATGTGGCAGAATATTTAGAAGCTATTGAATAACTTCTCCTTTTTTGCAATGGAACATAAGAGCAAGTGTGTTTTATATACATACTTAATTGCATCTTCAGTGGCTTTGCTTTTCTCTGTGAGGACGCTTTAGGGGCCACTCTGGAGGGTGTGGTGTAGCCATGCTTCAGGTTRTAACCATTGCTTCAGATGTTAAAATACAAACTGCTTGTGGAGTCAGGACGGGGAAGAAAGCACTTTCTTTCATGTTTAGCTTTTGCATGAGCAGTTTCTCTGAAATCACTGAAATATCAGGTGTTGTGAATACTGGCATTTAAATACTGACTATATGATATTCTCATAGGCATGAAGTGGTACAGTAAGATGCTGTAATCTTTCTTCTTGAAAAGCTTTTATTCAGTGTTGGAAAGCCTAAAAACATTTTACTGATGTCTTTCCAGACAGGTATAAGAATCTTCCAACAGCTTCCAGAAAACTACAGTTCCTGGGCCTACAGAAGGAGTTGGTTGATGATTTCAGGATACGATTAACTCAAGTCATGAAGGAAGAGACAAGAGCTTCCTTAGGATTCCGATACTGTGCAATCCTTAATGCTGTTAACTATATAGCAACAGTGYTGGCAGACTGGGCTGACAATGTAGTAAGTAATTATTCTTTAGGAAAAAAAAGATTTAAAAATGGACTTTGGGTGTTTGTTTCATAGCAAATAGTTTATTTTCAGCACTTTTTAGGTGTATTCAGAAAATTTAATTACTGAAAAGGTAGAAAGACATAAATTCTGATTTAGTAAAAGATAAATAAATAAGGACAGGTTGCTGTTTGAGGCCTAAGCTGCTAATTACAAACTTCCTAGGGAAATGCAGAGAGCCTGGAGAATGGAATAATCTGGAGACCAAAAAAAGTAGTTTCTTTTACATGCTTTTTATTGTAAAAAAATTTGAATTGAGTTTGGAGATCTCTGACCAGAGCAACAGCCTTTGCCCAGTGCTTGAACTCCTCCYACGGCAGGAGAGCTTAGAGAAATCCAGTGTGTGTATCTGTGTTGCAACACAGTTCAGGTGTGGCCCAGAAAGGCCACTCACTGATAACTGGAATTGGTGACTGCTGTACAGCAGCCTGGTGGCAGCATRGCCATAGTGCAGAATTTCAGCATTTCTATGGCTATTGGTGCTGAAAGTCAAAAAATCTGTTACACATAGAGTGTGCAGAATAAGGTATTTTGTGTRCTATTGATTTGGCAGCCTCCAAATCCTAACTGTCTTCACAGGAATCTGTGGCTCTTGCAGGGGATAATCTTGACTTGATAGGACAGCAGCCTTTATGTTGTATAACTGCATCTACTACASGGTCTTGATCTGCTTAAAAGCAAAGCCAAGAAGCTGCTTCCACAATGTCACATTAAACTCAATAAACACAATGAATTTTCATGCTGTTGTCATCACAGCAAATTTATGACTCAATGAATAATCATTTCTAAAAAATTACAATTAAAKTTTACTTTTGCAAGTCTTTAAGAGGTCAAGGTAGGGTTTTTAAAAAGTATGCTGCTGTTAATCTTAAAATATCTTTTCAGTATTTCTTTAGATCTGTTCCCTTTAYCTATCTGCTGTTGTATCTGAAACCTCTATCAATTCCACCGCTAGAATTAAGCCACCATGTTTTGTTTTTCACTAAAGGGAAAGATAAAGTGTTTTTAAAATCTTAAATTTTTAATTTTATAGATGTGCCAGGAGAGGGTTTTCTAGAACTGTGCCTAATGTACCAATGAAAAGTTCAAGTGATAAGATTWTTTTTTGTGGTGTTCCTCTCTGGCTTTGTTTGCGTAGTTCTTCCTGCAGCTGCAGCAGGCCGAGCTGGAGGTTCGTGCAGAAAGTGACACCGTGAGCCAGCTCCAGCTGGGACAGCTGGCGTCCATGGAGAGCTCTGTCTTTGATGACATGATCAACCTCCTGGAGCGCCTGAAGCAYGACATGCTGACGCGACAAGTAGATCATGTCTTCAGAGAGGTCAAAGATGCTGCAAAGCTGTACAAAAAAGAGAGGTGATTCTGTTTGTTTAATCTCTTACCATATTACARCRTTATTTCCTGTTAAAAATATTAAGKTAAGTAAAGGCAARAATAGATAATAAGCAATATTTTTTTTCCTGCAGGGTAGTAAGGTCTGGAAAATTCTCTCCTTACCGTAGGRCCATTATYATGCTAYGTTTTCTAAAGTTCCACAGTTAGTGGATGCATTACTTAAAAATCTTAGGAAAAAATTTGGATCRCTCTAGTTTTCTATTTTGAACAGGAATTAMTTTCTTCTTAGTAATAWTAATGATTTTATGCAAAATGACCTGTCATGACTGTTCTCTCTTTACAGACTCMTAGGGCTTCTTGAATATTTTCCCCTGAGTAGAATTTCTGAAGTACTTCATAAAAGGAATAGAACTAAATGATTTCCTGATTAAATGGGATTCCCTAGAATGACATGCTCAGAGATTTATAACTAAAGCATGAGTTTAATATTAAATGAAATTCAAACATAGCATTAGACTCATAACTTTTAGATTAGAAATGGGAAAGAACTGTCTCTGAAACATTGTAAATGGGTAAGACTTTYTTTTAAAGCATAATTTTAACTTCAGTTGTTGTAATATGAATAATTTTGTTCTAATGACTTCAGTGCAATGGTTTCTTTCAGGTGGTTGTCTTTACCCTCTCAAGCAGAGCAAGCAGTGATGTCTTTGTCAAGCACGGCATGCCCAATGTTGCAGACGCTGCGAGACCGTTTGCTACAACTGGAGCAGCAGCTCTGCCACTCACTATTCAAAATTTTCTGGCAAATRCTTGCAGAGAAAGTGGATCAGTACATCTATCAGGAAGTGGGTATCAGTGTGACCTGTGCAATGCCATGTAGGTGTCAGTGACTGGCTTGAACAGTAGGTGCACCTCTTTGTGTTTGTAGATCATTATGGCRAATCATTTCAATGAAGGAGGAGCAGCACAACTCCAGTTTGACATGAGTCGGAATTTGTTCCCTTTATTTTCACACTACTGCAAGAGGCCAGAAAACTACTTCAAGCAGTAAGTAGTTTTTTTATCTTCAAAAGTGAGTATCCAGAGAAATACAAGTTTTTTACTTAAGAGCAAGATTTTTTTCGTAGTTAGTTTTGATCCACACTTTAAATGTGTGGAGCATTCATACTTCTGATGTTTTCAACTATGAAAGTTGATTCTGTCTGTGTACTCACTGTGGCAAGTGTCCTTAAGTATTTTGTGCAGTCAGGATGTCTAGGTAGATTAATTTATGTAGGGAATATTAAGTAGCACAAACCTCTGAAACTAGTCAAAGATACAGTCACAACACAACAAACTTTGTTAGAAGAATGACTACTTTGAACTGCKTTCCTGCTCTGGATTGCCTTGTTACGTAGCAACCTAGTTGGTGTCATGGATGAAAAGCTGCTCCTTTCTTTGTAGCAACCTAGTGGTGTCATGGATGAGAAGCTGCTCTTTTCTTTGTGGTTAGTCTTTTTCRTGTAGCCCACTCTGTCTCCTAAGGAGTCCAGCATTGAATTCCTTGGCTAATTGGGGCAGAAATCTGAATGTTTTTAAACCAATATGGAGCATAGAAGTTTTTTTTTTGTTACGCTTAAATTTCTGCTGCTTACATTAATCCAAGTAACTTTTCCTCTAGCATAAAAGAAGCCTGCATTATCCTGAACCTGAATATTGGCTCTGCCTTGCTTCTGAAGGATGTCCTACAGTCAGCTTCAGAAAATGAACCATTAAAGCCAAGCCAGCCATCTGCAACAGCAGCACTAAATGAACTTGGAGTTTATAAACTGGSTCAAAGGGATGTTGAGATTCTTCTCAATTTGAGAGCTAGTTGGCCAAATACAGGAAAATAAAGATTTCTTCACAAATGGTTAATGACTTGRTCTAGATTACTTATTCCAAGCAAAATCAAATTAAATATCTTGTAATAATACTGCTTTCATTTCTATATGCTGAGAGATTGCTTTAATCTAATTTACACCTTACTCTGTACAGTTAAAAAAATTCAAGATGCCACTGACTTGGTGTTGAACTATGCTGATCTTACTTTCCATGGCCACCTTGCAATTGCATTTGGAAGCTAAAACTGTGTTCTTCTCTAATGAATAGTCTGCCTTGTCAGTGTTTGCTGTATCATTGTGAGGAATACAGACTATTTACAATGTAAATACATTTTTGTACAACATGGGCTTCTGTAAAGCCTTCAGTTAAACACAGATGTTTTACATCTCCAAGTCCCAGGTAATGGATGTTCTCTATTAAAATGTACATAATCACAATGCAGAAGGAATGACTATGTCACTGTTTCCGTCAAACAAACTAGGATGTTTTTTTCTCTACGAGACCTTTCTCCTAATTTTTTTTTAAGTTTTTCCTTATAAATTGCATAGTGTGTGCTAAGTTTGAAAATAGCACTTGGAAGTGCTACCTGCCTTTACCCGTGGACATTTGTCATAACTTGTTTTTTCCTTAAAAAAAACCAAAAACCAAAGCACAGCAAGTAAGCYGAAAAAGTAACTTAATTTTATTCAGTGGTAATGAGCCAACAGGTAACAATCCTTTACTGTAAACTATAAACTGAAGGAGGAAACTCAAAAATACTATTTCAGTTGTGTAAGAGATTTCTGCTTTTTTTAAAAACCATCTAATTATATTAAGAACAGCAATTCTTAACAATACTCCCTCCAGTGCTTGCTAGACATGAACAAGTTCTTGTCATTTGTCCTTTTCAGCTGATTGCTCCTCYGAAGGGTGGGGAAGATGAGAAAAAGAGAGTACTGCTTAAAATTGGCTATTCACAGCTGACAAACCAGAAGAAAAATTGGGGAAGATGCCTATTTTTAATATATATAGCAGATCACTGCTCAAACTAATACACAGACCAGCTCTCCAGCATCTTTTTCTTCCTARGACAGAAAAATAAAATCTCTAGTTAGATAAGAAGGCTTAAAGGTTCATAACCTTTCAGTGCAACAGCTTGCAACAGTTACTAAAAAATTGGCCCTAGAACCATACCTTGACTTTGGGAAATTATTGCAACTCTGAACCTGTTTGATCTCCGGTTGTGGTACCACCCCGACAAAGAAGACAACAGGGCCACACTGTCCCACATTTCTAGATCAGTATTTTAACCCCTGGGCTGCCTGATTATCTTGGCACTGATGKGAGGGGGAGAGACTGTGAGAGCTCTCCTGCAAGAGGATGCTGAAACTGAGGCGGTGGAGGGAAGGAATTTGGTTCACCTTACAGCAAGGCAAGAAGGTCAGGCAGTAACTGACCTTTTTGTTAATCTACAGCAAGTTTTTTAATTATGTAGCTTTGTAAATAAAAAAAACTTCAACAAAATATCTCCTACATATATCCACCCCACAAAAAMCCCCAACAAACCACAATGTCATTTAAACTTACATTCCTGCCTTGAATTCATCCAGTGTGATATTCGCATCATCTTCTAGCTCCAAATCCTCAGTGCTCAGTCCCAAAGTTTTAAGAGCTACAGTTAACAAWAGAGAACTAATTACGTGAGTCATTGGAAAGACAATTCAATTTTAAAGGGGCCTAGATCTAATAAAAGATAAACGTCYGTAGCTTAACAACATGTAACTTTAATGTAGGAAACTTAACCACTTGTAACTCTTTCCATTTTCCAAGTTCCAGGTTGTGTGGGCAGGTGTATGGATAATTCCTTAGAATTCAGACGGGTAACTTTGAAACTATTTAAATAATTCAGTGCAAGCAGACAGTTTGGTGTGAGGCGGGGCGCAGGTGGACGCACCTTCCCTGTACTGCGCTGCCCTGATGTGGCCCTGGCCCAGGACATCCAGCAGGCTGAACATGGCGTCCACGTTGTCCTCGTCCATGAGGAACGGGTACTCGCCCTCGGCTCGCCTCCCGGCCTTCACCTGCTCCAGCACCTGGATCAGGAACTCGCGTGGCCTTTCTGCAACGAGGTCAGATGGCCCGCGGGCACCGGGCCCTCAGCCGGGGAGCGAAGGCGGCGCRGCCCCGCCACCCCCGCTCCCTCCGGGCTCTCGGCGGGGCCGGGCCTGCGCGCACCGGGGCGGTGGAAGAGCAGCAGCGCTCCGAGGCGGTGCAGCAGCTCGGGCAGCCGGTGCCGCTGCAGGTACTCGCGGCTCTCCTCCTCGCCCGCCGCCATCCCGGGGTGCCGGGGCGGCGTGAGGCGGCAGCGGGGCCGGCGGGGGCTGTGCGGGCACCGGGCGGGAGGGCGAGCACAGGAGCCCGCAGGGGTCGCGGGGGGCCGGCGCTGCCTCAGGCGGCTCCGGCCGCGGGACGCTCCGCTGAGGCGGGCGGGAAGGGGCAGGAAAAACTGACTTTCCTGGAAGTCGTCACCTTAGCACCGGAACAGCCGCTCCTCGCTCCCGGCCGGGCCGCGCCTTTGCGTTGACSCGTGGGGAAAGCAAATTTCATCTGGTGATTTTTAATACCTGTGCAGGTACTGAGGGCCTGTTAGGCTGGAGMAGCCTGATAACATCCCCTCGCAATGCATATAAATATCTCAAATACTGCTGTYGAGAGGATTTGCCGGACTCTTTTCAGTGGTGCTAGCGACAGGACGAGTAGCAATGGCCATAAAACGAAACCCAAGAAYTTTCACCTCAGTATGAGGAGGAACCCTTACGCTGAGGGTGGCAGAGCACTGGAACAGCCGCTCAGGGCTGGAGTCCCGCTGTCTGGAGACATTCCAAACCCGCCTGGATGAGCTCCAGTGTCACCKGCTCCAGGAGTTCCTGCCTTGGCAGGCGGTTGGACGGGATGATCTCCAGGGGTCCCTCCCACCCTAAGGATTCTGTGATTCCGTGTTCTCACCTTCAGCCACATTTCCTTCCACCGGCGGTGCCACCTTCTTCACCTGCTGCCGCTCCCCAGGCACAGCCCTGGTTCATCCCCACGGTGTGGGGCTGCCAGGATATTCCCAGTGTTCCACACCAGCGCAAGGTGCAAAAACAGTGGACAGCAACTGAGAGCGTTTAGATTTAAAAACCATTACTGAGCCTTGCAGCATAGCCTGTGCAAACAGAGAAAAGACATCAAAGAATCTTTTAACTGTACTACCCACTGTGAGTAGGAGAAAGATAATCAAGTAAAGCATCCCACTAAAAAAAATTRAAGGAACTCTACAAAGATAACTATCTGCCACCAAATAAGATCAGACAATGATAAATGAACACATAGTAAAGGAGAATCATATTCCTGTGTAAAGTCTAGCACTAAATATATTTAACTATTTGCCGAAATTAAAATATCATAATTCGTTAGAAGAATTATTTTTTTTTCTTMGATAAAGTGCATCCAAAGCTGCAGAGATTGTACAGCCATGCACTGTCTGTATTCTGTATTATTTTAAACTATGCTACCTGCTTTGAATCTCAGTTAGGGCTAGAAAATTTGTAGATTCCTAACAGTTGTCTCCTATGACAGTGGCCAGGCAGTGACAGAAACCTCCTTTTCCTAAGTRAAACACTCCAAAGTTACTGAATCCATTCCCGCATTTGTCTTTCTATGCCTTTCTGCAGAGTTTGCAAAGCATTAGCAATAATTTTCCTACAAAGAGCCATAGGAGAAATGTAGATTTAAATATGGAGAAGTACAAACAGGAGAAAGAGCTGGTCAGCAGAGGAGAAATAAAGATATGGAAAATACATTATTGAAAATGAGAACCTAAAGATAGGAAGATTGACAGAAAAAGAAGGAGCAAATTAAATAGTAAGTAGGTAGGTAGGTAGGTAGGTAGGTAGGTAGGTAGGTAGGTAGGTAGGTAGGTAGGTCAGTGTTTGGGACAAGGAAAACAGCATTTGGCAAAGGATGTTTCTCCTTTAGTGGTCAACAAAGGTAACAGTATGAAATACACATGCTGAAGGAACAAGCACATGAATGACGGATTTCAGTGTTTCCCTCAGGAATGATTAAAAAAAAAAACACTAAACAGAACAAACCCCAATTTGATTTACAAGTAGAAATGCATTTAAAAAAATTCTATTTCATTATTAAGGAAGCACAATTTGTTTACTTGAAAAAAAWTCTGATAATGAATAATGTATTTATTATTTTTGTAATAAATTATTGTCCTCAGTTTGTATCATGATAGCACCAGCTACAGATATGAATCCTGAAAGTATGATAGTTCAGGATAATTTGTAAGAAGCTCACATRGACTATTGTGAGAAAAATTAAACTTCTGGTGACTGAGAAAAACATCTACAAGTATTCTGGTTCCATTATAGAGATGCTGCTAAATGAGTTTTAATAAAGAACTAAAGGACCAAATTATTTTCATGTGTTTAAAGTRTCCTGGTTATATAAACTGGATTTGTTTAAAAGGCTTATTACCTGTTGTGACAGAAGATGAGCCTTCTACAGAATATTATTAGTAATTTAAGCCTTTTATCTAATTTAATAGGACTGAGTAAATGACAGTGGGTCTTTCAGAGTTGTAATGAAGAGACACAGGGACTGCATGTCAGAAGTGCAGCTGGTTCCGGAGCAACTATTTGTCTTGCAGGGGRAAACAGGCAGATGGACATCTTCCAAATGGGAGTGTCAGAAGACTAAAGTCTAGGGCTGTGGGAAAAGACAGGAGCAATAGAGGCTGGRAAAGATCCCTAGGTGTGCCATAGGCTACCTGTGCACACAGCTGCTCAGAACAGCTCCTTTAAGGCTTTACCTCCCTTTGCTGCTCCTCARCATGGACACTGGAAAGCTCTCTGTGCTAGGGAGGAAAGGGTGAGCTGTAGGGATTGGTTCTGCCATTACTGTAGCTCTTTTGAGGAGCTCCACTGCACCTTTCCTCTGTATTCCCCAAGGATTTCCAAAATACAGGTGAGTTCCTCATCCTGGAATTTTATACTGTACATTTGTAGAGAAAAGTGCTTAACTACAGAAATACTGAGTACTAATTATCTCAACAGCCAGAATAATTTTTTGTTGTTTTCACTATATGAAACAGCAAAATAATTAAGTTGGAACGGTCCTCTGAAAATAATGTGGTCAACTCCCTTTCCTCCTCAAACTGGGCTCAGGTTGTTCACAGCCTTGTCAAGTTTTTGCTGTCTCCAGAATGGATATTTCACAACATCATTTGGTCTATGTTTYAGTGCTCAACTACATGGCAATGGTACCAGCCTGCTCCTTGAATCAAACCCAGCTCTTCCCAGAGGCTTCTGTAGATGCAGGATAAGCAGTCCTTCACCCAGACATTCTGGGRTAGTACCTCACTGCCCAGACTGTGCCCAAAGCTCTGACCTCTCCAGTTAAAACCTGAAGCAAAGGCAGCAATGGGWGTACCTCAGTCACTTCCCTGTCCTCTCTCACCAGGTTACCTACCCCATGTAGGGCCTACATTATACTTACTTTCCCCTCCATGTTACAATGGAAGTGTCCTTCTTATCCCTCACTAATTCCAACTCCAGCTGAGCTTTGGCTTTCCTGGTTSTGTCTAGGCAGAGTTTGTTCCTCTGGGGCAGCCCACTCGCTTCCAGAGTCTGTGTCCTTGCCTTTTGCCTCTGACTCGGTCAGCAGCTCTCCATTCAGCCATGCTGGCCTTCTCCCATGTCTGCTCAGCTTCCTGCAGATCAGAATGGACTGTTCCTGTGCTTCAGCTAGCTCTCATGGGTCCTTCAGGGCAGTCTTCTGTGGGATTCTGTCTCTGCAGGAGACAAAGTTTGCTCTCCTAAATTCCAGTTGCAATTCCACTATTTGTCATCCTCACTTCCCTCAGAATCTTAAGCTTTGCTGTCTTGTAGTCACTACTGTCAAGGCTGCCACCAGTGTCAAAGCTCCCAGCAGCACTTTCTTATGTGTGAGTAGCATGCCTAGCATAGCCCCACTCGGCTTGTTGAGCCCTTCTGTCAAAAAATTGTCCTTGATGTWCGACAGAAGTAGCTGCATCACCACTTGTGCCATTCCAGTCCTCTCCACAAGAGTGAGAGCCTGCAATCATCAGACTAAGCTGTGAATGCATTTTTTTTTTTCTTTTCCCAGTCAGCTGCAAAATAAAGGCCTAACTTGCCATCAGAAATGATGCACTGGGAAAAGAATCAATCAGGAATTATCACAAAAATACTTCTTGTTTCTGAGTCAAGGAGAAGAATAGGTCACAAAAAGGCTAGTTCGATATCAGGACTTTGCTATCTTACAGAACTGTCCATTCTCAGTTGGCTGGAAAACTACGAAAATGATTTCCTGGAACTACGGTTGGACTCCTGCTGAAGGCAAAGAGAGAAAAAAGAAGTTACTTGAGCAGGAGTCTGCATTCTGTAAGAAATACAGTAAGTGTGGCTCTGAGCCCATAGCTCAAACCACAGATGCTTTTATTCTAGCAGTATCTGTAGAATGAGTTCACAATACCCAGGGTAGGGGGGAGATAAGAGATCCATCTCCATTGTCTCAGTGTCTCTGACACCTCACAGTTCAAATAGACATTTTAAGSAACAAAAAGGTGGGCATGCAGTTAGGAAGCAGAAAGAAGTATGGAMTATGCATCTCCAAAGGTTCATGTTTCTGAAGAGTAACCCTTGTCTTTTCCTGTACTTGATTGCAAATTCACACACCTACTCTAACAGTACTTACTCCAGACAGTACTTTGTAAAAGCAGAGTTACTAAAAGAGCTCTTGTTGGCGTTACTGCTRAAGCTGTGTGGTCCAAACACAAATCCTAAAGTAACATGGAAAGAGTAGCTCAAGACAAGATTRTAAAAGCAACAAAAACCCCAAACACCAAAAATAGGACACCACTTTCCCCCTCCCCCACCAATGGATTATGAGTCAAAATAAAACTAAAGAAAAAGGAAGCAAATAATTGCAATTTTATGAGTGGTGCTAACCAGAGGGGAAAGTTTCTTGTGTGGTCTAAGGCGAGATTTACATGGATATATATAAATATATATATTGATATTCTATATATATAAAAATATATATATTGCACCTGTGGTGGGAAAGGCAAAGAGGTTGAGACTGTGTAGTAATCTCCCAGTAGTGACCTATCTCACTCACCTGTGCCATAGCTCTCCAAATCAGCACTGAGGAAATTTCCCACTAGGAATGGATGATAGTTTCTCTTCTGCAGTGATGTCTGCTCCGTTACTCTTTATCCGCTGCCTCACTAGGGCCAGGCTGGAAATGAGCTGACACAGACATGGGACTCCCAGGGCTGCACTCGTGTTCATGAGGCCATTCTTTGTACTTACACCATCTTCACATCTGTTGATTCTGTAAATGCACTTTGTCCATGATAAACAGCTTTTCTGAAAAACTCCCCTTGTGATGTCACATCAACTATGTTAGCAACTGYTCCAAGTTAATCAAACC